TTTTTTTATCACCGTGAGAAATAGCAGCTATTATGGCGACGTTCTCATAAAATTGCCAATGTTAAGTAAAATTTTCTTGCTCAAAATCATATCAGCTCCCGTTTTAGGACTGCGATATTATAGGTGAGAAGCTAGCTTGGGGTTAGTGCTTTGGTTGCACTGCGCGGGGCTCTCGCCATCACACCCTGTATATTCGTAAATTTTGAGAGATCTAAGCTTGACGAGGCCATTACGGCTGATTTAAGATGTAGTTTCGGCAGTTGGTTTTGGTTCGTGATGTAAATATTATGACAGTAAAATAGCTGAAATTGCAGATCGGACAACTCTGGGCATACCGAAACAACTACGGATGAGCCACTTGCTGATGGTGCTTCGAGCAGTGCAGCGGCACCCAGCGGAAATAGCACCGTACCTGAGGAGTTCCGTGATATACTCGGAGGTAAGTCTGCGTCGGTAACTGCGGTAAACACTGGATTGCTTCTTTTTATAGATATTGAAATACCCGATGGAGTTGATCCTGCATTCCTCGCTGCACTTCCCGAAGACATGCGTGCTGAAGTGATTCGCGATCATCGTCGCCAACAACGTGCTCAGCGTGCTGCACAACCGAGCTTACCTGCTCAGGTTGGGATTGCTGTAATTTTTACCATTCTTTGAATATATACTTCTTGCCATTAGGATGGTAATGGCGAGAGTGGCTCAAACGTGGTGCCAGCTGTGGAGCCAATAGATCAAGATTTCCTCAATGCTCTACCACCGGAATTGCAGGAGGTTAGCCATTAATTTGAGCATAAACGACATGTCCTACACCTCTTTTTTATAGGAGATCCTAGCGCAACATGAACGAGCAGTTCGTGAGGCAGAAGAGGCCATGCGAAGAGCCAACGCTCCAGCACCTGCTGTTCCTCCAGAGCCAGAGATGGATGGCGCAGCAGTTATTGCCTCGTTACCACCGCATGAAAGAACTCAGGTAAGTAAAAGACGTTAATATTCTTATGAGCTAAGCTCCGTACTATCTAGGTGCTGGCTGAAATGGACGATTCCGAATTGCAGCGCCTTCCAGCTGACATGCAAAATGAAGCTCGTAGAGCACGTGAAAGTCTCGAACCAGTGAGTAGTTAGAGTCAAAATGTGTTGTTCTTAGTGAAGCCGAGTGAAACAAACGAAAAAAAAA